CTCAAGATTATGATATTATTTTAGTACAAAAAGCTTTAGAAATATTTAACCAATAATTTAATTACAATATAAAAGAGTTATTGGTTTATTAAACTAAGCCAATAATTAACTAAAAAATAGGATTAATTATAAGAGAATATCTGATAAATATCAGCACCTTCAATGTTTACTAGTAGGCTTTTAGACTATATGATAAAAATTCTAAGAATATTATTAACTTATCAGTACTTTGATTATTTTTTTAAAGAATAATCAGATTCTGATATTTGCTGAATACCTCATTACCCAATTTGACCAGTAAAAAGAGAACCAATAGATTATATATAAGCAAAGAAAGATGGGACCCTAAATTAGCACAAAAGAATTTTAAATCATGCACAAACATGACAGCTTGATTGACACAATGGTACAGTCTTGCACTCTTGGAATTTTTTTATTGTATAATTAATTTACATATACCTTTAATAAAACAAACAAGACTTAGCTATTTAATCATTTCCTTGTATGTGAATGCCTTCCATCCAACAAATATTTGTGATTATTATTCAATATGTTTGATATCATCATTGACATAACAGACAATTGCATCACACAGGTAGTAATAATACCAAGGCCATGCAAAAATGAAACTCTTAATAATATATGTCTACCCAGATCTATGGAGTGCACAAGAATAAATAAATAAATAGGGAGGATCAAAAAAAAAAAAAATTCCCTTCCCATTGTATAGTTCCTTAAAATGAATAATAAATCTGATATTGATCACAGGTGTCAGATTTAACTGAAATTTCCTGTCACCAACATGGAATAAGGTGTTCTCACACCTCCTCATAACCATGGAATTTTTCCACAGGTGAGGTAATCCAAACATGTTGGAAGGCTTTGGACAAAACTTTTCTTATCTTCCCTCAGACCAGGCTTGGTTGTTTCTGTATGAGCATTAATCACTGATGCAGATCAGCATTTGTGTGATGATTGCTGTGTGTTATACCTCTCTAAAATAAAGTTGGTGTCTGCAACCTGGCATGAAATTCTGCAACTTGGGAGGTTGCAACCTGGGAAGTTGCTGTTTTGGATTTTCCCTGAATTCAGAGTTATAAGTCCTGGTTTGCTGTCTTGTCAGTGGCATGCCTACTCACCAACAACCCTACCCATGTTTAAACAACAAATTCAGTTGGTCAAATAAAAATTAGAGAAATAGAAAATTTATGAATCAATTTATGCATAACATACCAAACAAAATCTGATCCATTTTATTTTACAGCTTTTTCCTTGGTACTAGTGATCATGGTGATTATCACAATAGGAGTGGACAGGGTTGAGCTGCCACCTTGATACTTGTGAGATACATGCTCTCATTGAGCTACACTCCTTTATTAAGCTAGGATGGGTTATATGGGCAAAAGTTCCCACTTTAAAAAACAACAAATTCAGTTGGTCAAATAAAAATTAAAGAGAAACAGAAATTTTGGGAAAATGATTAATTTATACAAAACATACCAAAATCCAAACCATTTTATGACTTTTTCTCATTGGCCACATAGATGTATATAATCATGCAATAATTTTAACCTACAGGAAAGAGGACTGATTGGGCAAAACCCATATAATTCCCTACCCAAAATTATAAATTGGTTAGTATCAGAGAATGGAGAATTTAGGAAAATGATTATACAAAACAAACACTATTTTACAACTTTCCTCTTAACATTGAAGCCCAAATGCAATTTCAAAGCCACCAACCCTGCTCTGAATTGTGACTTCCTGTGCTTGAACGAGCTGCAGATTCTCTTAATATTCATCAGCAGAGTTGCGACTTGGTCACAGAGCCATCCTTACCCTAGAGGTGGGATTGTTGCAAGCGACTTTTCAGCTAGCATGCCAGCAGCCTTCTCTGGTCTGGGAAGATTAGTGAAAGCGTCATTGACGATTGGTGCAGTCTTGGTAAACTCCAGGGCCATGTCGCCCCCCCTGGAATTTGGTTGCATCATTGTATCATCATGGGAATCTTGGTCAGATTAGCCTTATGTACATGAGGAATATGTGAGAATGATTGTAAGTGTTCAAAGTGGCACGCGTGCTTAACATCTGCCAATTTCCGATAATCAAATGTCGCATACTTGAAATGTCTCTTTTTCAACAGTGTGCTGCCTTGATATCTTGTGATTATAATAATATAATAATATTATTGATGATCACGAAAAGCAAAATATTATCAATGAAAATCTTGTAATTACCAAGCAAGATCTGTTCCGCGTTTTGATTCCAATTAAAATGTTTATAAACTAAAAAAGATACCACATTATATCAATGCAAGTAAAAATAGTACCTCTGGTTAGTTAATAACACATCTTCTTTAGGAGACCCAAACCAAACCAAATAATAACACTCACATTTTGTCACCTTGGGCTCTGTCAAAAAATAAATTGTTTTCCAAGAAAAAAAAAAAAAAAATCAATTCGCGTCTGTCCTACCAAAAAAAACCCCCAATAGGATAAATAATCAATACATACACGTCAATCGTCAATCATAACAAACTTTTAAAAAAAATTTTATTTTTTAAAATGTCATATACAACTAATAAAAGAAAACAAGAAATTGATGTTAGTGCAGCGATTGCTGGGTAAGTGTTTTAAGGATGGTGGTGGTGCCACTTGTCGTCACTCTAGTTCTATTTAAATTTGTAACTAAATTTTTATTTTTTTTTGTTTCTTCAGTTAACCTATTTTTTAAGGAATTAACTTGTTGAACATTCAAGTTAATTTTGCTTTCTTTCTCGCTTAAAACTGATTCAAATTTTTTTGGTTTTTTTCTCTTTCCATTAAGAGTGCCACTAATGTTCTAGAATATTCTCTCAATCATTCTCCTTCTCCAAATAAAGCAGGTAAAGGAGAAGAACTACCCAAAATTCAATGAACATTTATTCAAACTGCAGTACCGAACTCCAAAATGTCTTTTAAATTATCTAATTCCATCATCTCATCTTTATAATCTGATGAGTAATCCAAACTGTTTTCTACAATCAAAATACTTATTCTACCTACAATAAGCCTTTTCAAATTTTCATATAATTTTTCTGTTGTCATATTTTTTTTATTTACCATAATAATTCTTCAAATGCTTAAAGCATTTAACAAAATTTTAAAAGCATTTTAAAATTAATTAAATAATGACTTTGGTTCGAAAAATCAAAAATTTGGCTGAGTTAGAAAAATTAAGCCTGTTTCTAATACCATTTCTGCAACCTAATACTTTCTTGCTTCTTCAAGGAGAACTAGGAGTGGGTAAAACTACTTTGACCCAATTAGTCGCTAAAAACTTGGGAATTAAAGAAAAAATAACTTCTCCTACTTTTACTATTTGCCAAAGACACAAGATTAAAGATAATTACTACTTAAACCACTTTGACTTCTTTCGCTTAAACACTAATGATAACTTAAATGTTTTTCAAGAATTAACTATTGATAATTTGAATATTATTGAATGGCCAGAAAAAAATCTTCAATTTTGGCAAGAGAAAAATCATATTAAAATCAAGTTAATTAAGCAAAACTCAGGAACTAGAATTGCAAATATCTTTTTTTCTCCTTATTTTTCAACAAGGACAGATGGCTTATAAAAACTAAAAAAATTATGGATAAAATAACTATTTTCGACACTCATTGCCACCTTGCTGACCAAAAATATCAAGAACAGAATAAGAACACCGAAGAAATTATTCAAGAAGCCAAAAAAGTCAGAGTAAAGTATATTCTTAATACTGGCCAAGACATGCCGACTAATCAATTATTACTTAAACAATTAAAGGATTTTCCTAACTTGTTCGGCTCCCTTGGCTTACACCCTAACAGCAAAGAAGATTTAAAAGAAGAAAACTTAAAATGGATAGAACAACAACTAACTAACCAACAAATTATTGCAATTGGGGAAATTGGCTTAGATTATTACCGAACCTTTATGGAAATTGAAAAACAAAAAAAATGATTCAAAAAGCAATTAGAACTAGCCAAAAAATACGATTTACCAGTCCTATTACATATTAGAAGCAAAGAGGATGAAAACAAATTTTTAGATGCTTTTGCTGATGCTTACAAAATAGTAAAAGAAACAGAAATAAAAAGGGGCATTCTTCACTGTTTTACTGGTAATTGGGAAGTAGCTGAAAAATTCCTAAATTTAGGATTTTACATTTCTTTTGCGGGTAATATCACTTATAAAAACGCTAAATGGAAGAGTAAATGAGGTGAAGCATTAGAAAAAATACCATTGGAAAGATTAGTCATAGAAACTGACGCTCCTTATTTAACTCCCGAACCTTATCGCGGGAAAATCCCCAGAACATAACTTATTGGGGTGTACGATGGACTAATGTAGATCAAAACTAATTGACATCATATATAAAATTTACTAATTAACTTTTTT